GTACAAGAGGCTGGCGGCACAAGGGACCGGGACGGGTACTTGGAGGTCACGGCTCTGCAACTCAGGGATTTTGTCCCAGAAGATGTCTCACTCACCAAGTATCTCTGACTTCCCTGCGTCACCCCTGCCCAGGGTGTTTGCCCCAGGTTATGATTAACTGTCCAGGTGCCGCCAAGTCTCCAACACCATCCCCCCTCATTTTTGAAAGCCTCGGATTTCATATTAGCACCAAGGAGAAACCTTCAACAGTACAGCTGGTTGGAAGCGTGAATCGATTGCAATTAAGTGAAGTGTAGAACCGATAAAAATATTCGCATGCGTCATAAATTGTGACGCAAAACTCCCTGGCGCAATGAATAACATTGCACAACATGGCTCAACCATCGTGACAATTGAAAAATAAGTATAACCCGTAAAAACAAAGTTTTTCACTATAAATCCTTTATATGCGTGGCGGCTAGAGTCCTCTCGTCCTCTGGCTTGAGATGGCTGCCACCTATGGGTCAGATGATTGTCTGCCAGTATTAAGCAATTGGTAATTAAATATTAAATTTGTTTTCCCTAAACAGTGTAAAATTTTGGAAAAAAAGTTTCACGAACATTAATTGTCTCGCACAACGAGTCTGTGTGCAAAATGTCAGCTCGATTGGATCACGGGAAGTGGGTTAAAAAACGACAGAAAGATTTGCACGGTCGTAAGCAAGCAAGCACGCAAGCAAGCAAGCGAACTTAATATAAAGGATTTAATGACCGAATGCGACGAATTTCAAGCGCTTCTGTGTGGGGAAACAAATCGCCATTAGCTATTGTTGCCAAGAGTTCGCGTGCGTGCTCGAGTCCATGGGTCCCTGGACGTTGAGTTGCTTTTTGGTGAGCTGGCGTAGGAGAAGTCCCTGCTGAGCCTGCAGACCCAGGTACGGTGAGTAGAGCAGCCGGCATTAGCGGGTCGGCGTGCGACACCTAAGGCACCCGCATGTCATGGGATGGTGGTGGTGTGGGTACTGGTGTTTTATAGGGTGCAGGTAGTGGTGATGGAGTGGACGGAATATCAACAGCGCATTGCTTAAGGCGTGATGGGTGGACGTGCCACTTACGACGTCCCCACTGAATGAAAGCACATTGCAGGCATAGTGCCAGGACTTATGCAGCTTTGGTGAAGAATGTAGAGGGACCTGGGGGCATTTAAGCCATGTTGTGTCCCCGTGGTGAAAAGTCGGCACATTCATTGAATTCTGGATCGAATTTTTGTCCTTTCTGTCGCCATTAATGCACGTATAAAGAATCCGCATTGGTGTCCTATAAAAAAAAGTATTGAGGGAATTGACTGGGAGAGAAAATGGATCCGAAATCCTCACTCTCCCATATTGGAAATGAGAAACCGTCACAGTATTCAACTCCAACCAAGATACATATATTCCCCCTGGAAGTCTGTGGAAACGGCCCAAAGATGTCAAGAGCAACCATTCATTCATGCAGGATAGGGAAATGGATTGTAGCGGAACTTGTAGTTTTTTGCGGCGGTAGATTCTGGCAGTCATGATACGCATAATGTGAATGCTTTTGCATAGTTGCCAGGATCTTTTTATATCGTGTCCCCCATCGACGTGGTCGAAAAGATTTTGTCGGACAAGAGAAGGCACAACTATCCGGGTTAGCTGTAATTGCGTGTCCCAAACACATGAACAGTTTGTCCTGCACAAACTAGTGGGAGGCCTTTCCCGGTGCTGTCGGCTGGCCTAATGTAGTGGGGGGCTGTTTTGTCCAAGATCTGAGGGAGGTGTCCTGGACTTGCAGGAGGATCATTCGGCCCTGGAAGATCCTAGATCGTGTTCATTATCAGACGGGTGTTCACCCAGCACCATTGTCTGTGCTCGTGCAATAGTCAACCGTCTCTATAATGAAGGGGCTTGCATATCGGTGCACCTCGATGGCATGCACGTAGATTTGCGAGGGGCAAGCGAGATAGAGCATCGGCATTTGAATGCTTGAGCCCCTTTCGGTGTACGACATCGTACGTGAATTCCTGTTGTTTTTCGACCCCATGTAGCTAATTGGCCCAAAGGCTGGTGGATTTTAAGGGTATATTGCAGGGTGGCATAATCTGTCAAGTATAATTTTCGGAAATACAAATAAGGCCTAATTTGTTAAATGAAATGCACCACGCCTCGTAGTTCTTTATGTGTAATGCAGTAATGTGATTCTGGCACTGACAAGACCCTGCTCCTGTATGCGATGATCATCTCGCAACCCCCTGTATTTGCGAGAGGACTGCACCAACCCCGACGTCATTGGCATCTGCATTTAAGATTAATGACTGGGAGAAATCTGGGTATGTAAGTGGCAGAGCCTCTACCAGACGTGAGTGCAATTTGGTAAAGAGTTCTTGTTGTTCCGGGCCCCATCTGAATCTCTGATGTTTTGCCAGCAATGGCATTCCAGTGGTTTAGAAATGTACGTAAGTTGAGGTACAAAACGGCGGTAATAAGAGACAAAGCCTACAACCTACTTACATCATGAGGCCTCCTTTGCCAGTACCAAAATATACTAATAGGGGTTTTCCCCTTTTTTCTGGTAACAAAACTGACACCTTTTGCAAGGAATCATGTTTACATTAACCACAATACTTGCAGTCAAATGCAAACAAAAAACAATACTCTGATCATTTAAAGCCTAGTCTCATATGGTGTGCGATCAGACTAGGCTCTAAGAAAAGCTCTCTCTGGTGTGGACCAATCAGTTTCAAGGACAATGCATAATTTATCAGAGTATTGTTTTTTGTTTGCATTTGACTGCAAGTATTGTGGTTAATGTAAACATGATTCCTTGCAAAAGGTGTCAGTTTTGTTGCCAGAAAAAATGGGAAAGCCACTATTAGTAAACCTACTTACATCTTTGCCTGATGTGGGTGTTGGTCAATTTCATACACATTCTGTCTTGGAGGGATTCGTGGCAACTCTGTCGGCACATACAATGTGGCCGAGGTGTCTGCAGTGCGCCTCCTGGCCAGGACCGTCATAGACAGAGCCGTGGTGAACTTGGTGGAGAGCTGCGCAACTCTCCCCGCCGGGTGGTGAGCCTCTCCAGAGACCCCTGGGGTGACGTGTCGGGCAGACAGGCCCCTTCCCGTCAGCTGTCTCACGAAAATCGTCGTCGTTTCGGAAAAACTGGTCGACCTCTCGTCGATGCGGGGCCGTCTTCCTCTGCCCCAGCCGTGTCGGCCTCCGGGGCCTCAGAGTCATAGTGGGCATCCTCTTGGGCGCCTGGGGAGAGGTCAGCTGGTGGGCAGGCGCCACTGAGTCTCCAATATATGTATGTTGAACTTATTTCGCACCGTACATCGTCAACCGTGATAATGGAAGGTGCAGCAGGTGTCTTTGTTTTTGTTGTCTTTGTATATGGGTTAACGAAATTATACAGTAAAGGGAGGTCCAGATATATTGTGACTCGCTTTTAATCCTCAAAAACGTATCTTTTTTACGTTTATTGACGACAAAAATGAAGATTCAAAGGAAAACAATGTTAGGGGTCAATGTATTGGGGGTCACAATATATCTGGAGCACCCTGCACAATGGTTGGGAATATTTGCTCCATCGAAATGTTTAGCATACTTACCAACATGCAACAAACTTGAAATGTGGCATGTGGGTAGCTTCCAGACTATACACAATGCTAAAAGTATAAAAATATACTTTTGTATTTGGGTGGGGGGGGGTTTGGGAAGCAGGCGCAATAATGGATATATTTTGCACGGCAAGTAAGCAGTGACGTGACATCTGTGACGTCACCCGCATGCGGCAGCGTTACGCAGTGTGCCTGCTGACTTCACCCCCCCCCCACCCTCCGCGTAGGTCGTGTATTAATCCAAGAATCCAAGTCTCAGGCGAAGCCGGGTAATAAAGCGAGTTTGCCTATATAAGCTGGTATCTATGGTAATCACCCATCCAAGTGTAGTGTATGTCAACTGAGGTGCACACACACTGTTGTAGGAGGCAACGCGTTTATTAAACAATTCATTGTACACCGGGTTATGTTGCTAAGTGTGGCTAACTTGTCCTAGGCTGCTCACTATGTGCCTGTGTGTTAGCTCGCTCGATCCCCGAACGAGCCCCGAATGCTCCTCGTGCTCCCCCTTTATCTCTTGGCCCCGCCCCTTGTTGTATCAAGGACGGCGCCCCGCGCTTCTGGCCACGTGTCCTTAACTCCTCCATTCGAGACACCGCTTCAGGTCACGTGCCCTTGCCTCCTCTATTCGAGGCCAACTTTCGGTCACGTGTCCCTAGCTTGTCCAATCGAGGCACCGCTTTCGGCCACGTGTCTTTAACTCTGTCCAATCGGGGCGCTCGGTGCCCCTCCAGCACTGTGTCTGGCGCGACCCACAGAGACATTGGACGGCGTCCCTCCACAAGGGTCATGCAGGCTCCACCTTGCTTAGCATCCGAGATCTGGCGACATTAGAGGAGGCATTACTGGCGATTTAGTCCAAAGCGATACATTAATTGTTATATTTCTGCTCTAAGAGGGATTGTGATCGACTGCCCCCACACATCCACTACTCCACACATGTCGAGTCTCAAGAATTGACCATGAGACTCACAGTTTTTCACAATTTTGAGTGTCTCATGGCCATGCAATGGATTGAGGGTTTCTTTATCGATTACCTGAAAATAATTCACTCAGACCTTTTTATCACAGTGCTGCTGCTGATGATTCACAGCTACAAAAGTGTTCTACACTCACAGCCTTTCTATAAGAACAGCAAAAGACTGACAACTATCAAACGTTAGTTATTACTATTTCATTTACGACTGCTTTGTGCTTTACCTGGCCGCAATGTCATAGGTCCTTTACCCACACGATGCAGTACGATACGTCTTGTTGACAATCGTTCAAACCGGTTTGATATGTTTAACATGTTGCTTCACAGCTCATGTGCCAAGGTCAAAAACAAACCACTGCATGTTAATCCAGACTTCCTCATTCCACACACCACACTAAAAACCTCACCGCAGCGGTGTCGTGCACTCGCCAGAGACCATGGCTTCGTCTTCATCGAGCCAAGAGGACGATTTCTCCTGCTGCATCTGTCTGCAATTGTTTGACGTCCCTGTGAGTCTAGCCTGCGGCCACAACTTTTGTAAGAAATGTGTGGAGAGAGCCTGGGGTGTAGAGGCGGCGCACGTCCGCTTCACCTGCCCTCAGTGCCGCAGGCGCTACGCCCAGAAGCCAGAGCTCAGCAAGAACGTGTTCATAGCCGGCTTGGTGGAGAAGTTTAAGGGCTCGCTGAGAAGCCAATGCAGTAATCACAAGGAGCCCATGAGGTATTACTGCCAGAAACACGCGCGTCTGGTCTGCGCGACCTGCATGCATGTGGGAGGACACAAAGGCTGCGATGCCATCTCCGTGGAGGAGCAGCAAAGGAAGAGGAAGGTGAGCGATCGTCATTGCACAATTCCATTAAATAAATCGATACTTAATTTAAAATATTAATCTGAATTATTTTAAAAAGTGTATACATTGTATGTCTCTTAACTGTGATTCTTAAATATGTCACTGTTAGAGTAAATGTTAGGTAAGTGACATTCAGTATATGCTGCTGTGCAGTTATCTGGGTGAAATGTGAGCTAAGTTTTGCCCAATCCTGTCCAGCAAATTAATTCAACACATTCGTCAATAACGCTGCCCTAAAAGGACGAACAAAAAATGCGTTTTAAGTAATGACCTTGCTTCATAGCAGAGAGATGCTTTCGCTATTTGTGCGTTTGTCAACGCGGTATGGTCAGTCCTCACCTAACGCGTGATCACACTATAACGCGTTTTTGCTATAACGCGGTTCTTAAATTTTGCAAGCACTTTTCGCACAATAAGGAATCCTTACCCCATGATAACGCAGAATGTCCGGCTGAGCGGTACAGTGATACAGTATGCAGAATGATACATCAACGTGGCAGCGTACCCTCACTGTGTTTGTGTACATTGTATCTCGCCAAACTTTATCGTTACATTATTTATGGGGAAATTGTTTTCACTTCACGCATTTTTTGCTTAAATTTTCAGGAACGCATCTACCGCATTAAACAAGGATTTGTACTGTATCGGTATCAATAATTTCGAGAAGTTAGTCCATTGAGATGTGAGTCTACATAGAGTATAGTAAATAAATACATCTGATGTAATTTATATTTATAAAGTGCCTTCACTCAAGCCACTTGACATAGCTTACAAAACGGTGACAATATATCGTGCTAATGATCTCAATAAAGGCGTCTTCAGAGCACTCTACATAAAAATAAAATATATGTTAATGCTCAACACTTTGAATATGTAAAATACAATATAAAAAGCTATATACCTGAGGCAATATTATCTACAAATAATTAAAGCCTCTCGTATATGTCGTGGCCTGCTGATGCGAGTACTGGCGTACACCGCAGTTCCCCTTTTTCACCAGCAGCCAGCGCTATGCCACTACATATGTACTTACATCAGCCACAATCTGGGATGAGCAGTGACCTTATAGCGGCCATGTTGTATGGAGGAACGTGTGGCCATTTTGTCTATCGGACGATTGGTTAGAGTAAGTGCTAAATTAAGCTAGTGCGGGGCCTGTAGCATATGTTACAAGGGGGCCCTAAATAAAAAAAAAACACGTAGATATTAAAACACGAATTTTTTACTTGCATAGTAAAGTAATTGTATTTTTTCATTTGCTATACAGCCAGATAATACGACAAATCACTAACCTTAAACACCCAGTCTTTCATAAAAGTTGAAGGCAGTATAGGACTATAGTAATAGAGCAAGTGCAGAATCACTCAAGCGGAATTGATAGCTTGAAAGCATTTAGATTGGGGCCCTTGAAAGTGCAGGGCCCGTAACATATGCTACTTTTGCTACTACGATAATCTGGGACTGGTTAGAGTCATTATGTAATTCATTGATCCTTCACTCCAACATCCTTATCTCCGTTGATGTTGGATTTGTTTTCTATTATGACACTGGATCTCAGTACAATTGCAGATTTCTAGATCTTCGACACATTTTTGAAACATTCTCTGCTCATGTCCCAGTAATTGATCTCATTTCCTTGACATGTTCTATCTATTATGCTGCCATCTCACTACAGGAGACAATTGCAGGAGAGAAAACAAGAATGGAAAAGGAGAAGACTACGGAAGAAAGTGCCGTCACTTCTCTGAGGAAGTCAGTCAAATCTTTTCAGGTAGATGATAAATGTCTGTCTTCAGATGATTGCAGTCCCAATACACACGTACTGTATTTACAAGCCACTTGCACTGTTGTTCGCGAATTGTAAACGTTGTCGTGGGTTTACTCTCCAAAACACAACCACTTAGTGCTGAACTATTAATGAATTAGCACGTTTTGTTTACGTGACAAACCCTTACTAATTGGCTGTGTCGAGTAGTGGGGGGTTTTAACGACGCATTTATATTTACGTGATACAACCCAAAAACCTTTATTATGGACTATCACTTTGTGAATCTTGGTCTGTTCAGACCAATCTTAATTTTATTTAATCACAAATTTAATCACCAACATAATTAGAGGTTCATCTGTAACATTTATCCGGATGTATGTTGAACTTCTTTCGCAGTTGTAGTGAGTGCAACTGAGTCGCAGACTTTATCTTGGGAGCAACACTATTTATTCCGCATTAACACGCAACACAATATGATCTCTCGAATGCCCATCTAACCACGCTACGGCAGAACTAGACACGGTTCGCTATCCCGGTCCAGACCAGAAACGGAGTCCCAGACCGCATAGCTAGAGGCTTCTTCTTCCCGACGTGGATCTTCATAACACCAGCACACGAAGAACCCCGAGCTCCTCACGGGGCCCTCGTTATATGCCCCCGGGCTGGGGCTGGCTTCGCCCCGCCCACCTTCCAGGTCTCTCGAGCTCCTTCTTGAAGATTCCCGAGAGCTCCTTTGGACCACGTGACCGCCCCACGGCCCCCGTCCACCGGTGCCCCCCCTCCAATATCGTCCGGTCACATGACAGCAGATCAACCAGCGTATCAAGCCCTAACGTAACCCTGGCTGGCTGACACTCCCTCTCGCTCCCTTACCGGGAGCCCGCACCGCACACTACTCGCGGTGCCTCCGCGCTAACCAGCGCTCACCCAAGCCCCGCTAGGGCTGGTACTACATCCCGTAACCCAGGCTGCTGTAATGACAACACATTACCGGCCGTGGCTTCGCAAGCCCCGGCACCATACAGTGACAAGCACAGTCACTACACAGTGTACGTAGCCAACCGTACTAATCGGTTGGCTGTGGATGCTGCACCAATTAAAATGAATGCGAGTCGTTTGAAATAAATACGTAGCTTATGTGAACATTGTCGAAATGTGAACATTTTATTTGATCATTTTACACCTGCTTTTGCGCTGCTTTGCCAACTAACAATCTAAAATAACTGCAGGCACTGTAAGCACCGCTTAACGATCAAACAACAGATAGGCTTATTACTAGAGGACCCTTTCACGAGTATCAAGATATTGAATGCATAAAAATGCAAATAAATATACTTTGATAATTATGTATGCATTGTCCTTGAATCTGATTGGCCTACACCAGTGACAACCTCCTTCATGGCCTTGTCTCTGCACCAGTGTGATAGACCGAAGGACACCATAAGGCGAACGGTACTACAAGTATGTGTGGGAGCGCAGACATGATGCCTGAAAGAGACGCAACAATGTCTATCGTCTGAACACACGTGTAATGACCGACTTCCGAGACACGTCGTGTAGAGGGCGTTTTATGTATTTATCCCACTGAGCACAAACACTGGGCGTTATATAGAACGTATCTACATGGCTCCACACAGCCGACCTTTCTACACAGCCCCATCGTCGGCATATAACCACACAGCTGGCTGATTAGTGTAGGGCCGACGACGATGAGAGCCGTGCAGAGGATCGGCACCGCGGCCAGACGACAAAGAGACATGATGGCGAGCAGCGATGCAGCCAGGACCCAGAACCCCGTGATAGCTCCGAACCTTTGGTTCCATCCCCCTTTTATACCTCCCGGCGTGGCCAAGCCCTGCCTCTGGCCACGCCCCCTTACAGAACCTTCGAGCAGGTTCCCAGAGCTTCCTGACTGACTCTGGCTTTCACCTTTACCCCAGATACGTCCCCCTCCTAGTTAGTCATTATATAACTCGCCCATACCCACGATTACCCCTCCAGGCCGACAGGTGGCACCCTGTCATTACACACGTATGAATTGGTGCAGTAGATCTTACATAATTAATATCCGTAATATAATAGACACATAAACGCCCACAGGGCTTAAAGCCAAGGACTCAGCAGTGGCCACTTTTATATTATCTAGATTTCTATAGCGCCTTAACCCAAGGTACGTTACAGAAAGTATACAAATGGTATATAAGATGATAGTGCTTGAGATAAAGAGTGTGGTTATTACAAGTGGTGGTGCAGTTATGGTGAACTTTTGGAAAGCAGGCAGGGTTAGGGTCGTGGTAGGGGTAGTGATAGGGGATGTGGTAGTGATAGGGGTAGTGATAAGGGTTAGGGTAGTAATAGGGGTAGTGATAGGGGTTGCGGTAGTGATAGTGATAGGTGTAGTGAGAAGGGTTAGGGGAGTGATAGGGGTTATGGTAGTGATCGGGGTAGTGATAGGGGTTGCGGTAGTGATAGGGGTAGTAAAGGGATAGTATAGGATAGTAATAGGTGTAGTGAGAGGGGTTAGGGTAGTGATAAGGGTTGGGGTAGTGATAGGGGTTGCGGTAGTATAGGGGTAGGAAAGGGATAGCTATAGGGGTAGTGATAGGGGTAACGATAGGGGTTAGAGTAGTAATAGGGGTTGCGGTAGTGATAGGGGTAGTAAAGGGGTAGTGATAGGGATATTGATAGGTGTAGTAAGAGGGGTTAGGGGAGTGATAGGGGTTGGGGTAGGTCTCATCGTAGCTACGGGGTGGGGACAGGGAGTAGCAGTAGCAGCAGGATGGGCGAGGGAGAATAGATGGCGGTTGTTTTATAGGGAGGAATGGAAGCTGAAGGTTGTTGTCGTGACGATGATGGCTCTGTGTGCTGCAGGGGGAGTTGGTTCCAATTGGAAGGGAGCGAGAAGGGAGCAGGGACGAGAGAGTGAGACTGGGTGAAGCATGGTGGCGAGGGAGCCACAGAGAGGGGCGGTAGAGACTGGGAGCGGAGAGGACGGGATGGAGGGGCAGTGCAGTGAGAAACGACAGAAGTGAGATAGGGTGGAGCAAGACCATGGAGGGATTTGTAGACTCGAGTGAGATATTTTAACAGACAGCGATCGTAGACAGGGAGCCAGGGATTTGCGCGGGAGGTTAAACATGATCCAGTCTGAGTCATTTTGTATTCGCACCTCTGATTAGCGTGGTTGGCTACGTAGTTATACATCTGCTCGAGAGGAGTGAAGGCGTTGGCAGGAAGGCCGAAAAGAAGAGAGTAGCAGCAGTCGATGTGAGTGGAAACGAGGGGAGTCAATCAGGAGTGTAGCAGCAGAGAGTGAGGTGAGCGGACTCGTGATTATTTTGAGCTCGCTGGCCACCTCGGGGTCACATTGCTGGACACTCACAATCGTCCAGCCTCTTGCCAGAGTCCACTGCCAGTGTGTGTGGTGATGTAAAGAGGTCTTGTGCGGGTCTCCAGGACTTGACTGAAAATGTCAAGGATCGGATCAGGGAGAGCTTCGCCCTTGAGAAGCGACTGCTGGATGAGGAGGAGCAGGAGGCCCTGCGGGGAGTGCAGGAGAAGAGCTGCCAGAAGCTGTCGCGGATCCAGAATAAAATTGAGACGCACGTGAAGAAGATAGAGACCCTCACCCAAGACATTGGCAACCTAGAGAAGATGATGGCACTGCAGGATCCCATCGACTTCTTAAAGGATGATCAGGTGACATCGAGGCTCATCAATATCCACAGTAATGTGAGACCCAGAGTCAGGTGGTGGCGAGATGTTAACTACCTCGCCTGATATGCTGGAGGTCGTGGGTTCAATCCCGACCCTGATGTCTTATGTATATTTGAAGTTTGCGTCTCTCTCTCTTTCTCCCCCTATGGTCGCGATAATTTTTTCTCTGGATTCTCCGGTTTTCACCTCCATATTTAGAAACACGCCTTTAGATTATTTGGCTGCTATTAATTTCCAAATGATAATCCACTTTATTGAGCTATCATTTGTGATAGCCAGGTTGCTTCTGAAAATAAGCGATATACCTCAGTGGGCCTTACCTGGTAAAATAAAAACAGTTTAGTTTAGTCGAGTTGCTGTATAGTCTGTTTCATTCAAGGCATCTTAAATAGTTGATGTTTATGCCTTTGCAACATTAAGCAAATATATAATTTGTATCTATCTGTTTGTCATGTTTATAGCAACACTCAACTTACAATCATAAGCTGATATCTTACTGTCTCGTTTAAGGATCCACTTAGTTCATTATCATCATCATCATCTCCCCATTGTCTAGGAATTCAGGAACCTTGCGTTGAGAGGCCATTCAACTACCAGCCATGAATCTCTTGTTCATGTCTGAGGATTGGAGTTGTCATATAGGGGATTGGGTTGAGTCAGGGCTTGGAGTTGGGCCAGGCGCTCAAGAATGGAACAGGCATAGGGATGTCACATGCTTAACGAGAAGGTATCTAATCAGGTGGTGACACCATCGGTGAGACCCAATGGCTTGTGAATCGATTATTCGCGTAGTTTAACGAGAGCTGTCTGTCTTTGTCTGCCCCAGGAACGTAATGCGAGCTTGAGGTCCCTGAAGATTGTAAGGTAATATCAGTAAGCCTTCTATTTACGTTGGGGATTGCTTCCTAGAAAACGTGAGATTAGGCAAAACAACGTACATCCGAAATCTAATTTACCATTGGCTTAATGATAGCACCTCCGATTAGCATGGTTGGCTATGCAAGGTGTGAAGGAAGTTCAACATACATGCGTATATTTAGGATACGTTGTTGGGGGTAATTTTAACGGTCAACATTTCCAGAAAAAATATAGTAAATAAGTACCAAAAAAGATAAGGAAATATATCCAACACCTTACGTAGCAAGTTTAAACACATGCGTACTTCAGGCGACATCTAGGCGAGGTGGAGCAGTGGCACAGTGTTTAGTGCACTTGGCTATGAACCCAGCAACCTCACTTGAACTCAGGGGCGGCCAATGGCCTTGGAACTGTCTATTTTTATTTGCTTCCTCGGCACCTTACTAATAAACTAGCTTAAGGTAATTACAGTGAGGATGGTCTTGTAATGATAAATAAATAACGGTCAATGAGCCGTTAAAAACAAATTAATTGTCTTAATTAAACAGCTTCAGGAGCAACAACAAACAGCACCTCCCAGCCACCGTGACTGTCTATCGATCTGCTGTATATCAACTGTCTAGAAGTTCTGCTTAGCTTCACCTCTGACGATTAAATCAGCCTCGATTTAGAACGAATCAAGAACTGTCGTTCACAACAATAGCATACACAACATTCATGCCAATGGTAATCTGGGTGACATCTCCTCACTGGAGCTGTCGTTCCCTTATCGTTGACGCCACTTCTTCAGTCGAGACACGTGGCACGTCGCGAAGTTGCTTTCGGTTGGCTTCATCCAATTTCTCAACACGATACGTGTTGGCAGGTGACTACTATTGGTCCCTTATACAGAGTGTCCATAAAGTCCCTATTTTATTGAAATCAAAGCAATTTAGGGGTAAACTATGCACTATTATAATCAGAGGTATATATAATAATGACACTTAAGCATTGGATGCTACATGAGCACTGTCGATATCTCTGCACACCTCAGATCTGTCAGCTGCATTGCGGAACACGTGTTGCAGCATCTGTGGAGTTATTTTCGTAATTGCCACCCCGAAACACGACCTCGTCAGTCTTGCAGATCTCTAACTCATGTTCTATACACCTCTGACTTGATGAAGACACCGTGCAAAGAAATTCAAAGGCCTTAAATGCTGAGATGGAGCTGTCCGGGGTCTGTTGCTGGCACGTCACATCCAGCGGTTGGGAAAACTTTGTTAACGTTCTACCAAAACGATGTTTATCTAATGACAGAGAGTCCCCCATCTTATTGAAAGTGTTACTATCATCACACATTCTTGTATATTCATATTCTTAGGGTCCTGCAAAGACACATTTACATACCATTGGTTCAATAAAATAGATAGGGACTTCATGGACACCCTGTACATGGACTGCATGTGCGTCGGTGGGCCAATGTGCACGGCTCCAGTCGGGTTTAAAATGGCGTTGCCCACGTCGAGCTTCATCAGAGGCCCTCTTCATATACTGCTGCTTCTGTTCACTACGTTGAGATGCAATGACTTGAAGCTGAGCTTGTGGTTACCAAGGCTCGATGCCATCTCTGTCTCAGCGCACGGATTTTGTGGTTTACCTGAACATTTTAAACAAATGTCAGCAAGTTAACATGTTATCAAGGCATCTAGATCTGATGGTTTTCCCCACTTTTTTTCCAACAGGAGTTTCTTTGAAATGTCAAGGTATGGAACATCATCCCAAACATGCATCCCCCCACCAAAAACACCGTATACTTACTGCAGTTGTACACCCATACGTTAGCCGTTCAACCGAGCTTGCATTGTCCTTCCCCCACAGCTGCTTAAGCCACCTCTGATTAGCGTGGTTGGCTACGTACGGTGCGCAACAAGTTCACAACATAGTACTAACGTAGTCCTCTGCATGTTCCTGGAAGGCGTCTCCAACATTAAATTGTGCATGCTTCTTGCTAGAGCAGAATCTAAGTGATGTAACAACAACAATAACAACAACAAACAAACCTGAAGCAGCTTGGGGTGTGATCGAAAATTCCATTCACGGTCAATCGCATAGCACTTTCACTCTCTGCATCTACCGGAAGGATATCTTTCATTTTCCTGGAAGGCAATTAATAAAATGTCGTTATACGTTAATGCTGTTTGCTACATATTAACGGCGTGGTTCAAGTAAACAAAAAAAAATTCAGCATGTGTTTTTCACTACTGGTATAATAATTTAACACATGTGTATATATGTTCTCAATGTATTGAGTGGATGACAAGAAAAATAGGGAATGAGGTCATTGGAAGGAGTATAGCTGTCTCTCCACAGAGCGTTGAATTTTTCCATTTAAGACTACTAATATTGCAGGTTTTAAGTGCAACTCCCTTTGACCATCTCCGTACTATAAGTGGTACCGCATACCCAACATTTTGCGACACAAAACGTGGACTTGGTTTAATTATCGGTGAGTGTAGAATACACGGTGCCCACATATATTCATACCTTATTTTTCATTTCACTGTAGCACTGCCATCCCACTCATCCATCACAACGATGGGACAATTTAAAACACTTAATGGCTGAAGATTTTATTCAGGGAGGAAAAAAATGCAGTGTTCATGACGTAAATACTCTTGCTCTGACTGAAATCCAAACTTGATTATCAATGAAGGATACTCTTGCTCGGAGCACTTTTCACGCACGGCCTAATTAGTGCACGGAAAGTCTTCCGGTTGGAGGTTTTAATTTCTTTAAAATGTTCTTCAGTTATTTTTGGCTTCGAGAGGTGTTCTGGACCATGTCTATTGATGGATTTAACGTGTATTCGTATGCTCATCAATACAATATACGATTCACGTAGCTTTGTGCTTCACGTGACTCTTAGACAGGGGTCCTCAAACTTTTTAAACAGGGGGCCAGTTCACTGTCCCTCAGATCGTTGGAAGGCCGGACTATAGTTAAAAAAAACCATGAATAAATTCCTATGCACACTGCATATATCTTATTTTGAAGTGAAGAAACAAAACGGGAACAAATACAATATTTAAATGAAGAACAAGTAAAGTTAAATCAACAAACTTGCCATTATTTCAATGGGAACTATGGGCCTGCTTTTGGCTAATGAGATGGTCAATGTCCGGTTCCATATTTGTCACTGCTAGTCGTAACAAGTGATGCAAGTGTGCATCCGTTAGTCTAGATCTGGTTGGAGATTTCAAATGTTTCATTCTGAAAAAAATCTGTTCACAGACATAAGTGCTGCCAAAGATGGTTGCCATTTTGAGTGCATGGTTCCTGAGATGAGGATATGTCTCAGAGGGGAGAGATGCATAGAAATTATAAAGGCTGCTTGACTTGAATGCGTCTTTCAGAGAGTCACAATTCTGCAGTTCAGCCAGTTCCATTTGGTAAATTGTATCCACATTTTCAATGTCAATAGAAAATGGGTTACGGAAAAGCTGTATGTCCTGTTCATGGAGATGAAGCTCTTTAAATCTAAATTGGAACTCCTTTTGCAATTTTTCCAGTGAATCCACACATGTTTTGTTTGGGAATGCAACCAATGGTTTTTCCGCTAACAGGTTTTGAGTTGTGGGGAGATGGCAGAAGTTGTCCTCCTTCACTTGTTTGATGAGGAGGCCTAATTTTCCTTCAAATGCTTTGACATGTGATTGCATATCACAGACGAGCTTCCCCTTTCCTTGAAGTTGCACATTGAAACTGTTGAGTAGCTCTGTTACATCTGTCAGAAAGGCAAGGTGCCATTTCCATTCTGCATCATTGAGCTCTGGTACTTCTTTGTTTTTTGAAAGCAGAAAAGCTGTAATCTGTGGAAGTAAGTCATTGAAACGTTTCAAAACTCTCCCTCGACTCAGCCAACGGACTTCTGTGTGGTACAGAACATCTTCATAGTCAACATTTAGCTCAGACAGAAATGCCTGAAATTGTCTGGTTTAGTGCATGAGCTCTAATGAAGTTAACACAAGATACCACAATTTTCATAACAGAGTCCCACTTCAGTGATTTACTACACAGCGCGTGTTGGTGGATGAGGCAGTGTATGGCTATTGGATGAGAATGGTTATGTTTGTCCATCTCTTGGTTAATGCGAGCAATTACTCCTTTCTTAGACCCCACCATGCTAGAAACACCATCAGTTGTCACACTGGCTAGTTTAGCCCAGTTCAGCTCCAAACCATTCACAGTTTGGCAAACCTTTTCATAGATATCATCTCCTGTAGTTATTCCTTTGATGCTTTGCAGTGCAGCAAGCTCTTCTGTGACTTCGAAATAGTCATTCGTCCCACGAATAAAAATTAGAAGTTGTGAAGAATCACGAACATCATTGCTTTCGTCGAGTGCCAAGGAAAAATAGGAAAGTTTTTTTGTGGAGTTTTGCAAATGCTGATGCAAATTGTCTCCCATTTCTTCAATCCTCCGTGTAATTGTAGGTCCTGAAAGACTCACTGTACTAAATAAATCGGCCTTCTCTGGACACATCTCTTTGGCAACAGAAAGAAGGCATTCTTTAACAAATTCTCCCTCCACGAATGGTCTGCCAGTGCACGCTATTAGCTTGGCAACTTGAAAACTTGCTCGCAGTGATGAAATATTTAGCTGCTTCTGCTTCATCAAAGTATTTTGCTGAGTTGTAAATGTATTTTTCAGTTTAAATTGTTTATCTTTTCTCACTTCTCCGACCAAACAATCATATTTATCTTTATGTTGAGTTTCATAGTGTCGACGTAAATTGTATTCTTTGAACGCAGACACTATATTCTGGCATATCAGACACACAGCTCTTTCCTTGTACTGCATGAAAAAGTTTTCATAAGTCCACTGTTCTTTGAATATCCTACACTCCGAGTCAATTTTTCTCTTTCTTGACATCATTGTTTCCTAGGGAGTCAAACTTGCTATTAGTAAAATACCAATATATATACAGCGCTACAAAAACAATATACCAGCAATAACTTTGCCCACACAGAGACATACAGACTGCACTGCCCATCAATGCAGTCTGATTGGGGGAACTCCGCTTTTACCCCAGGCTCACACTGGTGCGGGTGCCACTAAAAAGTTAATTACACCTGCAGTTTTGTTCACAGATCGCAGTGCGATCTGCGAACTCGCATAGGAATCTGATCGCATGGGGGAGAAGACCCATGCGATCCGATTCCACTGCAGGAAAAAAGAAGGCACATGTGCCTTTTTTCTTCCGAATCTAATGCAAGTTCAGCCATACAAGCATATGGCTGAACTCGCACTGCTCAGAGATCGCAACAGTATGAACCGGGGCTTACACAACATACAACATATAACCTCATACAACTGAATAGCAATCAGAATGTAAATGCACTTACTGTCATTTAAATTGGGTTTCCTACTCCTCGGCTGTCTGTCACTGACCAGCACGGGAGAACAGCAGGCAGCCCCTCCAGAGATCAGAGATCACTCTGTTATTACCCCTCTATCATTTACTCAGCGGTGCGTGTACTGGGGATCTACATCCCCAGCACACAGGAATATCACTGGGAGTGGAGCCGATTGGCAAGAGAGGGAGCTGAGGGAGGGAGAGCCAGTCAAGCGCAGCCAGGGGAGGGCTGGCAGCCTTAGGCCTGGGGGCCAAGTCCAGTCAATTGGCCCATTGAACCATTCACCAGCGCAGCCCAATGAGTGCCCACCGCCGCAGCTCAATCAGTGCTCACCAGCGCAGCCAAATCAGTGCTCGCCACCGCAGCCCAATCAGTGCCCAAAACCGCAGCCCAATGAGTGCTCACCAGCGCAGCCCAATTAGTGCTCACCAGCGCAGCCCAATTAGTGACCATGGGCCTGATAAATGTCCTCAGCGGGCCGCATGTGGCCCGCGGGCCGTAGTTTGAGGACCCCTGCTCTTAGAGCTATGGGCACTGCATTTACCACATTCTTAGAAAGCATGACAGCTTATCAATGTGTGACTCTCCCAGTGCATACATCTAGATATGTACATCGTATGTTGTGTATTACTGACTATTGAATATCGGTTTCATCCTTTCCCTGTGAATGCATGTTTGGAAACAGCGACGATGACCCAAGCCACTCTCTTCAGGCAACCGCTGGAAAATATCTGCTTCTTCGGCTCTCAAAGTCGCGTGAGTATGGGTGGAGGTGTGGGTGTCTGGATGTGTGCATTGTGTATACGGGGAGTGGTGGTGTATTGGTTAGCACGCTGCACTACGAACCTGGCGACCCGAGTTCGATTCCTGCTCATGGCCAACACCAGTGACGAATCTATCAACCGGTCTTGGGCCTCCCCTAGGTCGACTCAGCCTCAAATGAGTACCTGGTGCGGTGTGTAGTAAACATCGCCACTGTGGAGACAAAGGCGGTCGGGCGTGATGATAACAGCACTTGCCCCAACAGTCTGTTTGGGCCTCACGTCTGTGTGGCAAGCGCTAGACTCCGCAGGAGGGTCTCTATCTCCCTCTAAGCATGCATGGACAGCTCGCTGGGGAGCTGGACCGGTTCCACTTGAACATCTGTGGAATACAGGTGGACTCGTTCTGGCTCTTGGAATGATGAGTGGAAGGTCCTCCACTTGGGGAACGATAACATCACAAAAAGCAGACAGTGGCTCTTTTGAACAAATTTGTGAAGGGGACCTAAATGATGATGTGTGGAAGGCCATTTGTTTCACGCTATTATGAAGGATAATGCAACTAATATGTAAATTAGACTATGACTTAGATTATCCGTCCACGGATAATAAATAGTTAATTTTATTAACGTGTATTGTATCAGCTCATCTCTATATAAGCCAAGACAGTTATACATGTAGACATGTGTAAGCACTTTTTGACATGTGTAGGTACGTGTGGATATGCGTAGATACATGTGGACATGCGCACACATCAATTTTCAGAGCCCACACAAGTGCATGTGGATGAGCAGAGCAACTATTAGCAATGCAGTGGCAGTGCCAATAGCAACGCCGCACACCTATACAGCACACAAGCCAATGTGAGACAGGTTTAATAGATGCAGTGAATCGAGTGCATTGTAATTGATCGATGCTACCTATGGCTGTTCGATGTGGAGTGTGCACATGATGGTCAATAAAAAGGCTTAGATGAGTGGAAATGTGGGGAATTTAAGACTTGGAGCAAACGTGGAACCAGTGGAAGTACATACTTGTTGGGTGTCATTCATGTGTAGAACTTGAGATGACACGCGTCGCGCGTTTGGTTGTGATACGGACGTGCGGCGGACAGTAAGGGCGAACGGATACACAGCAAAGCGGGGCGAGCGATACAGTACAGTTGTTGTTGCGCCAATTAAGGGGGTGAGGTAATTAAGGGACGCTGCAAGTGTTAGGGGTAACTGAGGACGCTGGCGGGTGATTGGTCGAGCGGGTGAGTGGTTGGGACTGGCACTGGGGTGTCTACGATAACAGCATCACATGAGGCTGGGGGCCTGGGGGCGAGTAGCGAAGCGGGGGATAACATAATTAATTGGGGCTAATTAGTTTGGGGATAAAGGCAGAGAGCGTATGGAGATACGGGAGTCATTGTTAGTGTTGGAGTCGCAGTTGGAGTTAGCGTTGGAGTTGGTGCCTGGGACAAGAGTGTATAATATAGGGTAGCAGTGGACAAGAGTGTATAGTATAGGGTAGCAGTGGACAAGAGTGTATAGTATAAGGTAGCAGTGGACAAGAGTGTATAGTATGAGGTAGCAGTGGACCAAGAGAATACAGTATACGGTAGCAGTGGAGAGAGAGCACGGACGGAGTAGCAAGGACGGAGCGAGTAGAGTGTAGGAAGCAGCAGAGTAACGGACCTTGGTGGAGAGAGAGAGAGCGAGCGAAGCGGCGGAGCGGAGCGAGCGAACGGAGGGACATTGAGTGGGGTTGATGGAGAATTGTTTATTGAAGATTATGGAGGAACATTGAGCGATGCTGTCGGAGATGTGAACTATATGCGAAATAAAAGGAACGAAAAAGACAAAGAAGTTGTCGCGTCAGTAAGAGTCCTACAACTGGAGTCAGAAGTGATCTAAAGAACTACGCTGACATGTCAAAGAAAGTTGCGGAAAAGAAGAACTTACCGGCGGGCTCGTCGACCGACAGCAGCGATGCGGACGTGATAACCCCGTCGGGGGCTGGAGGAGGACGACCCGGACGACGATAACGAACCAAGCCCGCCTCACGTATGGAGGACTGCGATGGCTGTGTGGGAGGCCAACATGATGGCGCTCGCGAAGGAGTTCGAAAACGATACGAGAGGCGCCGACGGGATCGGACCAGCCGCCGCATGAGCCTGCGACACCAGCGGTGGCCGGCAGCGCAGCTGTGTCTCCCGCTACGCCAGGAGCGGAGCCGGACGCCAATGAGGCGCCGGGGTTGCCGACTCCGAGCTCACGGCGCCGGCCGCACGTGGAATGGTTGAGGCTTCGCGACGAACCAGCGGTGGTGACGGCACAGCCTCTTGTGGAAGGCGCCGGCGCGGCCGGAGCACGTCGGAGTCGGAGGGACCGGGGTCGCTGGCAGCAGTGGCAGCAGTGGCCGCTCGCGAGCCTGCCTCGCCACCCCGTAGACGAGCTACGAGTACGGGCGTCGAGGACGCTTCGCACGGGACTGCTGGAGACGGAGAGGCGTCTTCCCGCGGTCATCAGGAGACTACAACCACGGATTCTTCCCATCCCAGGACTATCAGGCGAGTCGTGACACATTTAAAATACAGCCGTATCCTTCCCATTACCCATCCGCGACACCACACACTGTAAATTTCCCTTCGTACGAATCGCACGGTAATGCTATGTGGGGCGCATTGGTTCATCGCGTTTTTGTACCGCGCCGGGTTCGTCGGATGTGGTGGTGTTGTTCAAGGGGTACAAATTAGAGTAATTGTCGATACGGGGGCTTCGGCGACCCCCTTTTCTTGGAAACTTTCGTTAGTTGCCAACCTCGCCCAAAAATTTGGAACCAGTGGATGCTGAGTGTATAGTGACAAATGGGGGCAGTTGGGAAATTGGCTCGTGTGCTTGCAACAATTAAAGTTGGGGGTGTGTGTGTGTAACGGGATACATTTTTGTTTCATCTGTTCTGGCCGTGCCATGTTGTTAGGCACAGATTTTTGCAATCTGTGCTGGCCCGCGCCCACGGACAGATATACTCTGCCCCCTGTTCAGTTGAGCCGGGGCGATGGTCCGGCTGTGGGAACCCGCTTAAGAAGATAGATTTTTTCGTGAAACTTTGGGTGACATGGACGTTGGGGGTCGTGTCCGGGGGGGGGGGGGGATCGTGTACATTTTGTTGGGATATTGTGTTTTGCCGCGTTGTGTTTAGCCGGGACGGGTAACTCTTTAAACATGGGGGGGGGGGGGGGGGGTGATGTAGGACTTGAGATAACACGCATCACGCGTTTGGTTGTGATACGGACGTGCGGCGTAAGGGCGAACGGGGACACAGCGAAGCGGGGCGAGCGATACAGTTGTTGTTGCGCCAATTAAGGGGGTGAGGTAATTAAGGGACGCTGCAGGTGTTAGGGGTAACTGAGGACGCTGGCGGGTGATTGGTCGAGAGGGTGAGTGGTTGGGACTGGCGCCGGGGTGTCTACGATAACAGCATCACGTGAGGCTGGGGGCGAGTAGTGAAGCGGGGGATAACATAATTAATTGGGGCTAATTGGTTTGGGGATAAAGGCAGAGAGCGTATGGAGATACGGGAGTCATTGTTAGTGTTGGAGTCGCAGTTGGAGTTAGCGTTGGAGTTGGTGCCTGGGACAAGAGTGTATAGTATAGGGTAGCAGTGGACAAGAGTGTATAGTATAAGGTAGCAGTGGACAAGAGTGTATAGTATGAGGTAGCAGTGGACCAAGAGAATACAGTATACGGTAGCAGTGGAGAGATAGTACGGACGGAGTAGCAAGGACGGAGCGAGTAGAGCGTAGGAAGCAGCGGAGTAATGGACCTTGGTGGAGAGAGAGAGCGAGCAAAGCGGCGGAGCGGAGCGAGTGAACGGAGAGACATTGAGTGGGGTTGATGGAGAATTGTGCATTGAAGAGTATGGAGGAACATTGAGCGATGCTGTCGGAGATGTGAACTATATGCGAAATAAAAGGAACGAGAAAGATAAAGAAGTTGTCGCGTCAGTAAGAGTCCTACACATGTGTAATAAAGGACTCGTTCACTGTGTCTGTCTCCGTTGTCCTTTATTCGGGTTCCTTTACACTCGTCCCACACGGCCCTCGCTCAGAGCCTCTCCGCTCGGCAGCTCGAGGCTGCCTTCGCTCCCGTAGCCTCTCCCCACTCCGATGCAGCTCCACTGCTGCTGGTTCACCCGTGCAGACCTCCGGCTGCCCTCACAGCAGCTCCACCGCTGCTGCTCGCCCTCCGTGCTCGGTCACCGCTGGCCGACGGTGCCGAGTCTCGCTCCCTGTGTGGCGATCTCGCCACTCTCCGATCTCCGCCCTGCGTGGCCTCCCTCTATCTCAATCCCCAACTCTCTCTCGTCTCTTCCGGTTTCTCCCCCTTAAGACTTGATCCCTCTCTCCCACGTGACCTAACTCCTCCCCTCGTGACGTCATATCCGCGAGGCCGTTTACGCCCGCATTACACATGTAATAAATAGTTTATTGTATAAGGTTTAAGTGACAATGATGTGCAGTATCTATTCTAGATTTGAAGCTTTCGTGACTGCAAGGATTCATATTCTTAGGTTTTTTCGGTAAAGTTACGTAGGTAAAAAAAGTTAATTAAAATTAATAAAAGTATAATAAAAATAAAATAAAAATCACGATGTTTCGGACGCAACACAAGCTTCCGTCTTCAGGTGGAACCGTCACAGCACGATTGCTGTATCAAGTAAGAGAAATTCCAAGAAAACCGTCCTTGTATATGTAATATCTTCAATAATGGCGGGAGACGAGTTGACGGGGCAGCACTTATTTATTCACAATGGTTGCACAATGACAGGCACAACCTAAATAACGCCTATGCTACGCGTGCCTGGCTCGGCCACGCACACAGTCTCTCCCGTAGGGTACGCGTGCCTAACTCTGCCTTGCACTCAGGCTCTCCGGCTACGCTCTCCCCACGGGAACCTATCAGACCCCTACAAGTGCCCAACTCGGCCTTGCACTCACTCTCTCCCGTAGGGTACGCGTACCTACCTCTGCCTTGCACTCAGGCTCTCGGCTACGCTCTCCCCACGGGAAGCTATCAGACCCGCCCTGCCCGGCCACGGGTCTCGACCACTGAGTTACACAGCCCGACCCTTACAAGGCGTCGGGCCGTGAATCCCAAGGCCTCACCTCTGAGCCTCACAGAGCCCCGGCCCTTACAAGGGCAGCGGGGCTAGGGGTCCCAGGGCCTATCTCTTCCTCCATCTTCTGTCTTCGCCGGTTACCAACTCCCCGAGTGCCTCCGCGCATCGCCTTACATAGCCCTCCGCTCCAGGGGACGGGGCCTATGCGGACCGCGATGTGAGCACCCGCCTGCGGACCGCGATGTAGCCAATCACCACGCGCTGTCTCACGATCCTCCCTGCCAGCACGTATCCCCACTACATCACCCCTACATATATATACTGGTTGAGGGTGGGAGGAGCCAAGGCAGGCCCCTGGATATAATTATTATTGTGAAGTTGGTGCGGCTAAAGCCGCTGCTAAGAATGAGCCTTTGTTGTGTAGACTGGTTGAACTGGGAGGTTCCAAGAGTTGTTAAGGTGCGGCTGCTGTAAATGGGACTGAACCTTTGTTATGTAGATGAAACAGAACTTTGCTACGTTGCTGGGATTAATTCTAGATTTGCCAAATGTGTGGTAAAACTTAAAGCAGGAAAAACCAGTGTGTGAAAAAAGAAGAAGAAACTATACGGTAACTGAAGAATAGTGCCTGTCAAATAAGATGGTCTAAATATGTGTAGTTAAATCTCTTTTGCATGGTTAATAACAAAACTGATTCTTCCGCCGTTACCGATCATTGCTACAATGCTGTGGCCTCTCATGAAATTGTCTTTCCGAGACCAAGGTACTCTGCAAACCTCCTGGCTACCATCAAAGGTTTGTACACGAAGCCATCCAAATATAAAAACACAGACATAATTTCAACCGTGATGATGGGTACAAACTTAGTAATCATTGGAAAGATGTTATTACCATGCAAAAAAGATTTAACTACACATATTTGGACCATCTTATTTTACAGGCACTATTCTTCAGTTACCGTATAGTTTATTCTTCTTTTTTCACACACTGGTTTTTCCTGCTTTAAGTTTTACCAAACATATTTGGCAAATCTAGAATTAATCCCAGCAACGTAGCAAAGTGCTGTTTCATCTACATAACAAAGGTTCAGTCCCATTTACAGCAGCCGCACCTTTACAGCAGCCGCACCTTAACAACTCTTGGAACCTCCCAGTTCAACCAGTCTACACAACAAAGGCTCATTCCTAGCAGCGGTTTCAGCCAAACCACCTCGACATAACAAAGGCTCAGTCCCATTTACAGCAGCCGCACCTTTACATCAGCCGCACCTTAACAACTCTTGGAACCTCCCAGTTCAACCAGTCTATACAACAAAGGCTCATTCCTAGCAGTGGCTTTAGCCTCACCAACTTCACAATAATAATTATATCCAGGGGCCTGCCATTGGCTCCTCCCACCCTCAACCAGTATATATACAAGGACGGTTTTCTTGGAATTTCTCTTACTTGATACAGCAATCGTGCTGTGACGGTTCCACCTGAAGACGGAAGCTTGTGTTGCCTCCGAAACGTCGTGATTTTTTTATTTTTTTTATTTGACTTTTAATTACAAATTTTTACATACGTGACTTTACCGAAAAAACCTAAGAATACGTGTAGTATCAGCAGCATGCCCCATTATGAGCTCTCTATTTTTCAGTTTTATTTGGACCATGTAATTTTATAATTGTTGTTCACAGATGGTTGTTCTCCAACTCTGAACGCAGCATCGTCTCATCATCGCATTCAACTTTCCAGAGATCTTAGAATGGTGAAGCTCATGAGGTCATTCTGGACTTCCTCAAACGAGTCACGTTCAGAAGTCCTGGGCTATGAAAGCTTCTCATCGGATCGACGCTACTGGGAGGTGGATGTGAGCAATTGTGCAAGGTGTTCTGTGGGAGTCACATACAAAACGATGCCACATAACGGAGTTGGTAATGAAAGTTGGCTGGGACAGAACAACATGTCCTGGTGTTTAGAAAAAGATGGCAACACAATCAAAGTTATGCACGGGGGAGTGGAACTCTTTAAAAGAGAAAAGAGTTTGGGTTTTGAAAAAGTCGGAATTTTTCTGGATTGGGAGGCGAGGCTCCTGTCATTTTACCACCATGGCACCACGGAGCTCTTGCACTCATTTCACCACCACTTTACCCAACCTCTTGTGCCAGCTGTTGGGTTGTGGTGCTCGGAGTCTAATAATAATTATCTGTCAATCGTTGAGCTCAAGTGATAGCTCATCTCATACTCTGGTCCGTGCCATCGCGATCGTCACGCATGGCAGGAATCTCATTCAGCATGCGACGACGGCACGGGATCACACGGAGTCATACGTGCACACCATCACACACACACAGAACATCATTCACATCTCTCTAGATCAGGGGCAGTAACCTGTGACTCAAGAGCCGAATGTTTCGTGACGTTATTCATGAAGGACCACCATTTCGTATTCACCACGCGGATTGCAGGCTCTTGAAATATCGAATTGGAACATAAATGGCACTTCTTGTTATTTTCTTTTCCAGCCCCCTTTCGATGAACATTCTTAAGAGAAAAAAATTAAGTTTAGAAAAAAAAACGACTTTACCACACAATCACCAAGTCCCCCCTCCCCCACCTTGCCGATGGTGGCAACGAGCCCATTTGGAAACCCACATGGCTCCTGTCAAACGTTGGGATCACCAAGCAATCAGGGAGAGAGTGCGTTGCTTCATCCACGTTGTTCACGTGACACACAGCAGCAGCAGCAGCATCTGCCTGTCTCCAAGCTGCAGGTGTGCACTGATTGGACTTCCGCTGCCCGATGTGACCACGTAACAGCCAGTTAACCCCACCACGTGCTGAAGCGTCGAGCACGTAGAGGAGGTTGACTTGCAGGGGATTCTTCTGGAAGAAAATAATACGCGTTATAGGAGGCCACTACTTAAAACATCAAATTTGTTATTATTTACTTCGTTTCTTTGTTAAACTGAAGTCAATATGTACTGGGTGCTCGACAGAGGTTAGAAATACATCACAGTCAATACAGGCGTGCCTCACTTAATGAGCGAGATATACACGTTCTGTGAAAATTGCTCGTAAAGCGACAATCCCTTGAACGATCGTCGTTTTCCCACTGACTCTCACGTTGAAAGCTGAGTTACGTTTGAGCCCCAAAAGTTTCTACTCTTGAACAACTTTTTTTTTACGTAATTAAAAAATAACGTTATAAATCATGAAATGTAAAGCCTCACACGAAGAACCACAGTGCTTGCAGGTGCTTGTCCTGAGAGTCTGCAATTAGCGCCACCACCATCTTCCCGACCAAGGTTTTGATGTAAATATTTCACAGGGACACTCAATAAGGGGCCATCCATTTAGTACGTACGCATGGAGGGGGAGGGGGTTAACCCAAATGCGTACACTTGCGTATGGGGGGTCTACTGACAATGTGCGCATGCACAGAAAATGGTTGGGGGGGGGGGAGCCTCATGAATAATTTGTCTACATTGGCCTTCAAATGAGTTAGATAGTCAGGCGGTGGACTATGTTTGCTTAAACACGTAAATATGATAAATCCTTGATTGTTTCTGCGTGGATTAAATGTCGGCTGTTCTATGGGAATTGGGGGGGGGGGTGCGTCAGGTGGGGGGGGGGGGGATGTAAAAAGTACGCGTGCCTACAGGGAGGGGGGGAGGGATCAAGTTGACAGATTTTTGCGTTCGTACTAAATGGATGGCCCCCAACAAGGGTGACCACACACGCACACACGCGCGGTAAACAAAATGCCCTGCCATTCAATGTATGTTTGACGAGTAACATCGCAAACAGAAATATTAATTGCACAATGTTACTGACATTACCACTGACATTTAAGGTGAACATAATAATGTAGGGCTCAGGACACCGACGTCGGATATTAAGACCTTTATCGGAGCACACCGTCTCACAAACCTCCAGCCACCATTCATCCCAGGCGTCTCTTTTTCTTCCCCTTCTCGACGCTCTCCTTTTATACCTGTCCCCCTCCCTCTCGTGCCCCCTCTACCTCCACCAATCCCATCTCTCTCCCACCCAACCGACTCCGCACTGTCTTCTCCCCCTATTCCACTTTCCCGCTCTTATTGCTTTTGAACCGAGCTGACCAATCCGAGCTGAGTATTTCCTCTGGGGCCTCCCCAGGTTGGGTTGGGCTCGCCCCACCCCTGCCCCCATCCTCTAATGTTGATAGACTCATCCCTCTCTCCCTGATCCTGATGTGTAATCATGTCCAAGGATAATATCCTTAGAATGAAAATTACAAAAAAACGTTGATAATATCAGTAAAAAATATTTATAGGAATTTAGGCAGACACCGCTTAGCGCTCAAGAACCGTTGTTCCTAGAGAAGTGAGCAGCGCTAATCGAATTGGCGCTTCAAGGGGTCATGATATCATTGTAGATATGGGGATGCGTTCCCTACAGAGTAATGTTTTCGTTTTAGCAACATAAGAGGGCTTCGTTGGTATATTGGTAATCGCGCTAATAATACTATATGGTAAACATGATTTCTTAAAGAAAAATAACGTATGATAACATGAGTAAATATTATGTATTGTGCTGACGAGTGCATTCTACTGTACCCGTAGAAGGCCGTGGAGGGAGACGAGGTTGGAGGAGCTCCAGCACCTCCGTGGTCTTAGCGATGCCCTCAGTCGAAATGTCTGGTGAGCTTCCTTTGAGATGGGGAACCTGAGACTATATCCTGGTCTCGTGAGTTCTCTCCCGGCTAAAAGCACTAATGTTAAAGGGATAAGAAATGGGGAAGACTAAATATTTTGTTTGTAAAGATGTGTTCGTGACCACGAAGCGTGACAATTGAATCGCTGCGAGTGCGGTCTGGTTGGCTCAGAGCCATGCATCGCTCTCATTGGCTCTCAGCTGACCAATGGGACAAGCGGCCAGCTGGTAACAATTTGAACCTCACGGCTGCCCAGGTTGGACTGTACGCGTCGGCTCTATCAATGTAATGAATTATGAGTAGTTACTAATTCATTAACGATTAATTAACATACATTATGAATTAAAGTTAATTAATGCTTATTAATTCCTAAGGTGGACCGTTAGTTGGAGCGGGGTACACGCCACATTTTAATCACACGGCGATCTGACCACAAAAGTAAATTATGAATCAAGATTAGAAAGTCTATAATCCATACGTAGTCTAGAGTTGGGTGCGTATGAACGATGTAGTTTATAAGTGCTAAGAACCTCCGACGTAGTGTGTTGAACAAGAGGAAGGTAAAACCGTTGTCGTTAACAGTTTAAGTTGGGTGTTCACAATTCTTGACGAGGAACAGCTCCAGCGTAGCTGCACACACTTCGTCTTCGTCCCAGGCAAGCGCGCCTCCTGTCGGAGACGCTCCGCCTTCATAGCTGCCACCCCGCCATTAATTAGCCACCACGTGCCCGTCTCTAGCTGCAGTGCCTTCCCATCAATCATCCTGTAACCACGTGTCTTGTGTCTCGTTAACCACGTGTCTTGTGTCTCGTTAACCACGTGTCTTGTCTCTCGTTAACCACGTGTCTTGTGTCTCGTTAACCACGTGTCTTTTCTCTCGTTATCCACGTGCTCTTTGCTGCTACAGTGCCCTATCATTCATTATCTCTCCACCACCTGTTCTATTTCAAATTTCTCTCAGCAGCTGTGTTTATTCTATTTTGTAAATATTTGGTAGCTCCATATAACGTTTGTTCTCTATTTAGTTCCCTACATAAGTAACGATGTAAAGTCGAGTGATCTTATTGATATAATCTAATGGTAATAAACGTGTGTAGAGTTAGGCCACTGGTGATCTGACCCCATTATAAATCAATATAATAATGACTAAAATCCATACATAGTTAAGGTTGGATGCATACATAATGTAGTTTATAAGTAACCATTTGAAGTCGAGTGATGTTATTGATATAATCTGATGTGACTAAACGTGCTTTGGGTTAGGCCAGTGGCGATCTGACCCCAAACGTCAATTCGAATCAATATAATGATCACTAGAATCTATACATAGTCTAAGGTGGTATGGGTATATATCCTATAGTTTATAAGTGATGATTTAAAGTCGAGTGATGTTATTGATATAATCTGATGTTACAAAACGTGTGCAGGGATAGGGCAGTCGTGGTCTGACTCCAAAATTGTATTATGAATCAAGATAATGATAACTACAGGGTGTTTTAAAATGGACCCGATTTCAAAGCAGTATATTTCACGATGGCAACATCCTACAATTGCACAAAAAGGTACAAACGGTTTAATAAGGTATCAAGTTTTATTAACCATTTAATAAATGCTCTATGTGCCCACCACCTGCTGTACTGACAACATCGAGACGATAGTTGAATTCGTCCCAAACGCCTCTCGAAGTGTCTTCTTCCACTGAAGTCAGCGCTGCCGTCATTCTGTTTTTGAGGTCATCCAGTCTAGTCGCTAATGGTAGCACAAAAACACCACGGTCTATGACGTATCCCCACAACAAAAAGTCGCAGGGTGTGGTGATGTCTGGGGATCTTGGGGGCCAAGAGTGTAGCGCCAAGTCTTGGCGTCCCGTGCGACCTATCCAACGTTGAGGCAGTGTGTCTTGCGAATGACTGAGGCGAGCGCCTGTTTGTGCGCTGCGAGAGGTATCTCGTGTTAATCATTTGAAACTATATGCCCCGCTCTTTTGGTTGCAGAGATATAGCGATTTCAAATCGGGTCCATCTTTTTAAACACCCTCCACACATAGCTTACGGTTGTGTGCATCTATACTGTGGTTTATAAGTAATGATTTCAAGTCGAGTGATGTGATTGACATAATCTAAACGTGTGTAGGGATATAACGATAATTCACACAAAGCCTAAGGTTGGGTGCGTATACACTGTAATTTATAAGTAACGATTTTAAGTCGTCATGTTATTGATATAATCTGATGTTACTAAACGCGTGTCGGGATAGGCCTGGCTGTGATCAATGCGTGGATCTCAGGACAAATCAGAACTCCTTTCTGACATCGGTGATTCTCGTCACATCCGATGGGAGATGTTAACTACGTCGCCTGGTATACAGGAGCGCGTGGGTTCGATCCCAACCTTGACGCCTGCTGTATATTTGTTGTCTCTCTTCCCGTCGTCACGTGAATTTTTCTCCGAGTTCTCTGGGTTTTCCCTCCACATTTAGAATCGACATCACGTGTTTAGAGCATTTGGCTGCTTTAAATCTCCACGTGATAAGCCACTTCGTTGAGCTATCATTTGTGGCCAGGTCGCTTCTGCAAAAGAGCTACATAGCTCAGTGTGATTTACCTGGTAATAAAAATAGTGTAAAGTTTTAAAAGTAGTTTAAAGTAGTTTTTATAGTTTACATAAAAATCACATACTTAAGATTAATTCATTGAAACCATAGTAGCTTCTACCACTAGATGGCGATATTGCTTGTTGTGTCTCGAGCAGCGTTCTTCATTGCAAGGCCCCCGTGGTCCACTGGCGGCCCCTGGTGGCCTCTAGTGTAGCCGCTAACAAGACAGAGTGAGAACACCGCGCCATCATCATCGTGCTGCTGTCAAACCAAACCCAATGGTTTCAAATGGTGTGACGGCCCTCACACTACCGACGATGTCTTATCGGGGAAAGTGGCAATGCTGGCCTAGAGGGTATTGCAGGGTTATATCCACCCGAGTTAATTGTCGATGAGAGCGGATCGCTGATTCCTCCGTTGAGATCCACCACAGAATAGATCCAGTTGCTGGGTATTTTGACTACTGCTGGCTTATGCCATGGATATGCATCAGTGTGACCATGGGTATGTATCAATGTGTCCATGGGTATGTATCAACGTGTCCATGGGTATGTATCAATGTGACCATGGGTATGTTTCAATGTGACCATGGGTATGTATCAATGTGTCCATGGGTATGTATCAATGTGACCATGTGTATGTATCAATGTGTCCATGGGGCTGTATCCGTGTGGCCATGGGTATGTATCAAGGTGTCCATGGGTATGTATCAGTGACAATGGGTATGTATCAATGTGACCATGGGTATGTATCAGCGTGGCCATGGGTATGTATCAACGTGGCCATGGGGGGGGGGGTGTTGTTTTTACTTCTTAACTTTGATATGATTTAGAAAAAAACATAATAAAAAAATCATTTCCGGCACACAGCCACACGTCGAGGGATGTCGCTGCAGAGTCGTTCGTGAGTCGATACGCGCGCGCGGTTCACCTGGTGAGCAAACGGAGCCGGTGATCAATCAATCACGCGCTAGTGTGTGTGTGCGTGTGTGTGCGTATGTGTGTGTGTGCGCGTGTGTGTGTGGGCACGCGCGTGTGTGTGTGCATGTGTGTGCGTGCGTGTGCATGCGCGTGTGTGCGTGTGTGCGCGTGTGGAATTCGCTGCACGCATGCTGCTCCTGATGAACACGATACACGCGTGTGGCTGACCAGGAATCGTTTGGGGATGGAACCTGTGTGTTTGATTCGCGTAATAAAGGGTGAAGGTTTAAGCGGTGCAACAAAAAACGCTGTCCTGATCTTCATCATCATCATCACGGTCCATGGGCAGATAGCCCCCTAGTAATAGTTGGTGTGTCCACATAACATCCTGGCCCCAGACAAACTCCACACAACATTCTGGCACCACACAAACTCCACACAACATGCTGGCACCAGACAAACTCCACACTACATCCTGGCACCAGACAAACTCCACACAACATCCTTGCAGCAGACAAACACCACTCTACATCCTGGCACCAGACAAACTCCACTCTACATCCTGGCACCAGACAAACTCCACTCTACATCCTGGCACCAGACAAATTCCACTCTACATCCTGGCACCAGACAAACTCCACTCTACATCCTGGCACCAGACAAACTCCACTCTACATCCTGGCACCAGACAAACTCCACACTACATCCTGGCACCAGACAAACTCCACTGAACATCCTGGCACCAGACAAACTCCACTCTACATCCTGGCACCAGACAAATTCCACTCTACATCCTGGCACCAGACAAACTCCACTCTACATCCTGGCACCAGACAAACTCCACTCTACATCCTGGCACCAGACAAACTCCACACTACATCCTGGCACCAGACAAACTCCACTGAACATCCTGGCACCAGACAAACTCCACTCAACATCCAGGCACCAGACAAACTCCACTCAACATCCAGGCACCACACAAACTCCACACAACATCCTGGCACCAGACAAACTCCACAAAAACATCCTGGCACCAGACAAATTCCACTCTACATCCTGGCACCAGACAAACTCCACTGAACATCCTGGCACCAGACAAACTCCACTCTACATCCTGGCACCAGACAAACTCCACTCAACATCCTGGCACCAGACAAACTCCACTCTACATCCTGGCACCAGACAAACTCCACTCTACATCCTGGCACCAGACAAACTCCACTCTACATCCTGGCACCAGACAAACTCCACTCTACATCCTGGCACCAGACAAACTCCACTCTACATCTTGGCACCAGACAAACTCCACTCTACATCCTGGCACCAGACAAACTCCACTCTACATCCTGGCCCTGGCCACCCAAGCCAATCAACTCGGCTTGCGCGGCGTCCTCCAATGGGGAACCTCGCAAATTCCTCGTTGCCCTATTAAACTTAATGGGGGTTTTATTTTAACGGCAACGCCAGCCACCAAGTCAAACTGGTCAGAGTGGCAGTGCCCTTGCTTCTAGAACGGGTGGGTAGCGGGGTTTGTGGGATTCTCCCTCCTCACCCCCCTCACCTCAGCTACTGCGGATCGAACCCCCGTCCTCCTGCATACCAGGCAGGTTTGACAACATCGGAGCCCCGTGATTATAGGGATGGTCTCCCCCACCAGTGCCTTAGAGGAGAAGCAACCCCCGAAGAGTTGACGTTGAGGGTTGATCATTAACCCCGGAGATTCACGGTAAGCAAATGGGCCCCGTTAAAATGCCATCAACCTGATCACCATCAACCAGATCGCTCGGCATGGCAGGAGTCAATCATTCACCCGCCTCGTCATACACTCAATCACTCTCACTCACTCAACCATACACTCACACACTCACTCACACACACTCACTCATACACTCTCTCTCACTCACTCAACCATACACTCAGGCTCACTCACTCACTCATACACTCACTCAACCATACACTTACTCACACACTCACTCACTCAACCATACACTCACACACTGAACCACTCACTCACTCTCCTAATCGCCCACTCACCTACCCACCCACTCACTCACACATTCATTCTAACTCACTCTCACTCACTCAATCTCACTCACTCAACCATACACTCACTTACTCACACTCTCACTCACTTACACTCTCACTCACGCACTCTCACTCTCTCACTCGCTCTCACTCACTCACTCTCACTCACTCTCACTCACGCTCACACACTCACTCACTCTCACACACTCATTCACACTCATTCTACCATACACTTACTCACACACTGTCACTCACTCACACACTCTCACTCAACCATACACTCAATCACACTCTCACTCATACACTCACTCTCACTCAACAATACTCACTCACACACTCTCACTCACTCACACACTCTCACTCAACCATACACTCAATCACACTCTCACTCATACACTCACTCTCACTCAACAATACTCACTCCCACACTCTCACTCACTCACACACTCTAACTCAACCATATTCACTCACACACTCTCACTCACACACTCTCACTCAACCATACACTTACTCACACTCTCACTCATACACTCACTCTCACTCAACCATACTCACTCACACACTGTCACTCTCACACTCACTCTCATTCAACCAAACACTCACTCACACTCTCATTCACTCACTCAACCATACACTCACACTTTCACTCACTCATCCATACATTCACTCACCCACTCATAGACACAGACCCCCCTTATAGCCTTAACACTGTTGGGGCAAGTGCTGTAAGCGAGTAGCACCTATGAAGGTTGGCACGGCACACGAGGGGGTGGTGAGACCTGCACCACGCCCGGTCGCCTTTGTCTCCCCAGTGCTGATGTGTTCTCAGCCTTAACCGAGTAGCTGGTGTGCAGTGCGCTAACCACTCGGCCACCGCTCCCCCACATAACCAATCACCCATCCCACGCACGTACATTAACCCTCCAAATCACTCACTCAGAGTACTCATCTTTACACCCACTCACCAATAAAACCAGCCACTCAAAATCGAATTTACTCACCTACCCACCCACTCACACACTCAACCACTGACTCACTCTCCCAATCACCCACTCACCTACCCACTCACTCACACACTCAACCACTCACTCACTCTCCCAATCACCCACTCACCTACCCACTCACTCACACACTCAACCACTCACTCACTCTCCCAATCACCCACTCACCTACCCACTCACTCACACACTCAACCACTCACTCACTCTCCCAATCACCCACTCACCTACCCACTCAATCACACACTCAACCACTCACTCACTCTCCCAATCACCCACTCACCTACCCACCCACTCAATCACACACTCAACCACTCACTCACTCTCCCAATCACCCACTCACCTACCCACCCACTCAATCACACACTGAACCACTCACTCACTCTCCCAATCACCCACTCACCTACCCACCCACTCACTCACACACTCAACCACTCACTCACTCTCCCAATCACCCACTCACCTACCCACTCACTCACACACTCAACCACTCACTCACTCTCCCAATCACCCACTCACCTACCCACCCACCCACTCACACACTCAACCACTCACTCACTCTCCCAATCACCCACTCACCTACCCACTCACTCACACACTCAACCACTCACTCACTCTCCCAACCACCCACTCACCTACCCACCCACTCACTCACACACTCAACCACCCACTCACTCTCCCAATCACCCACTCACCTACCCACCCACCCACTCACTCACACACTGGACCACCCACTCACTCACTCTCCCAATCGCCCACTCACCTACCCACCCACTCACACACTCAACCACTCACTCACTCTCCCAATCACCCACTCACCTACCCATCCACTCACTCACACACTGGACCACCCACTCACTCTCCCAATCGCCCACTCACCTACCCACCCACTCACTCACACACTCACCCACTCACTCACTCTCCCAATCTCCTACTCACCTACCCACACTCGCTCACCCACTCACTCACTCACTCTCCCAATCACCCACTCACCTACCCACTCACTCACACACTCAACCAATCACCCACTCACCCACCAATCACCCACTCGCCTACCCGCTCACCCACAACTCTCGCAGGGCAATGTCCAAAGGGCGTTGCGTGTGTCTCGGCAAGCAAGATGTTCCGTGCGACCCTTGGACCCGGCCCGAGAGGTCTCGGCTACGGGACACGAGAGGCGAAGTGGACCCCCATCGTTGGTGCCAAGCGCCCGAGTTAGCGAGCGCCTATTAACTCCGCAGTCAAGTCAGTGGCTGGCGGTGGCTGGTGGTGGTGGTGGTGTCGGTTGGCAGCAACTCGTACAGCGTTCCCGGGGCCCGTCTTTGTCTCATATCTCAGTAAGTGAACGTTGCACGTTTACACAACAACAGCAACAACAACGACCCCCAGCACCATTCGCTAACCGAGCTGCGGTGACGGCTAGCACGCCGCTTGTGCCAGGCTAGGTGCATGCGCTCTACGCGCTATTATACAATATATATGCATGCACACCAAGGGCGTAGCCATGGAGTCAACATTATCTTATTTTTATTTATTTTTTACAATAATGTCTAATAGTGTATTGTATTACATTGCTCTGTTTTTTTGTTACCTTTTCTTGTTTCATTGTATATAATGGCAGAGATTAGGGATGAATAAAGTACAACCATAACCACAATCAC